CATTACCGCTCCTCTTTGTTTGGATGCCATGCTCTAATAAAGGATGTAAAAATGTTCGCAATTCCAGTAAAACTCACTGCAACAAAGAGTCGCTTGCATGTCGCCGTTTTGGATCCAATGACAGAAAATAGCGGTGGGGATACATCTATTTCGTTGTATCGAGCGCGACTTACTTGAGTTAGTGCTACTCCGGGCTTCCGTATCGTCTCCCCCTCCCTCCTTGTGCTCTGCGACTTCAAGTAACTGCGCCATCTGGCGTTTAAATGCCTGTATTACAAGTCCAAATGAAATGAATGCAATAATTTACATCAAACCTTAATTGTGTACTGTACCAACCTTCGGCGGGCCGGATGAAAAAGACCAACGGGCCGGATCCGGCCCGCGGGCCGTAGTTTGCCCATGTCTGCCTTGGACGCTCGAGAGAGTCACGCCGAAGACGCCGCGGGGGGCGAAACAAGGTCAGGGTCTTGGGCCCCGAACAACGGGGTTCCTCCCGCTCAGGCGCTCAACGATTCTCTCACATCGTTTCATGTTGAGGCCTTGTGAAATTAACCACACATTCTCTAAACTTGTCAAATATAGCTTGAGCAACCCTCAGAATAACTCTGATGGTAGGTATCGACCTTGAATACTTTTTGAGGTTCGGGTATGTCTGTATTGGGCGCGAATGTATATATCGTCTGAATTACGTGAATGTATGACCATGTACTGTATTGCTGGAAAAAAACAACTTTCGGTTACATGATCAAAAGTGGGTAAAACGGTGTCCTTTTCTGCTCTCTTTCTCACAAATGTTGAAATGACATGTGTTAATCAGTTAAAACCGATGTACATGTTTGTAAATGAATACAAAAGAGAAAATATTTTCCTGCGCAATAGATAAAATAATGTTATGTCACACATGGTTGAATACTTTCAAGGTAGAGTAGACAATTACCCCAGTCGAACACATTTTATTAACGTTTTGTTTTTGTTTTTTAACTAACCTGTATAATTGAGGGGGAAAAAACATCCTGGTGTGTGTGTGCATGTACCGTATTTTCACGACCATTCGGCGCACCGTATTGTTGGGCGCAGTCTCAGTAACGGGTGCTATTTCTGTATTTGACACACACACAAAACGCACTGTATTATTGGGTGCAGCCAGGCATGGTAAAACATATGCCATCTTAAACATACGGCATGCATGCACGCACGCTAAAAATACATTAGCTTGAAGCATACAGTAGCATGCATGCACGCTAAAACATACCAGGTATGTTAGCTTCGCAAGCATACGGTAGCAGCTAAGACATACGGACACACGCTAAAAACACGTTTTTAAAAAGGCAACGGAAGCAAAACTAAGTTCGGTTGTACTTTATTTCGCCATTTTACAATGTACTCACGCGACTGGTACCTGCTAGGGGCGTGCCTTTAGCGTCCTCTTACACGCCTACCCTTCACTTATTGGCGACTGGTACCTGCTAGGGACGTGCCTTAAGCGTCCTCTTACACGCCCACCCTTCACTCATTGGCGGACTTCCGCATGCCTGTCGTCACACACGTCCGCCTTTTCTCTGTATAAAGAGCGTGTCGGCCAGAAGTGCTCTCAATCAGGCTTTGGTACTCGGCGCATACACTAGACGCTCCGCATTATAAGGCTTCCTGTCCATTTTGGAGAAAATTTAAAACTTTTAATGGCGCCTTATAGTCGTGAAAATACGGTACGTGTGCATGTGCACATGGTAGGCAATGGATTTCAAACCTAACTTTGTTTTCATGCATACAGGTACATGTTTTCATTTCAAAAGTGTCA